CTCCAGGGAAAAGGAAAAATGAGAACTTACTGGCTCCTAGGAGAGCGAAAAGGACCTCCTGGACTCCTGTAAACCCCACTTCTTCCCAAGTCAGACAGTCTCCTGCTGCTGGTACTTGGATGGGCAATGGCCACCATCTTGCCATACAACGGAAACAGACAGCGGCATGAGATGGGAACATGCACAAAAACCTTGCCTTATATGGAAGCCATAGCCCTCTGCAGCTCAGCCCTGTATATACTCCTGCTCCTCTGTCTTGGTCCCCTCCTCCTACCATCTGTAAATATCTGTATTTAGACCAGAATATTTTGTCCAAGTATAAAACAACAAGAAGTCATGGTGCCATGGTCTGGAGTCTGAGCCATCCCAAGGAAAGACTGAGTATGGTCATGGTTACTCAGCATCAATGAATTAGCAGTGAACTTTTATGTAAAGCCCCCTCATCAAGTACAGAGAATTAACTTCACCTACATCTACCTCTGTAATATAGACAGAAATAGAGTCCAAATTCCATATCTATTTCCCTCCTCAACCCTTAGACTGGAGTTGTTCTCTCCCCTCCACACCTCTGCCCTCCTTCTTGACAGGCGAGGGAAGACATTACTTCCATCCGGTGGGAGAAATTCTCAGGCTCATAAGGAAAAGGCTGCCCCAGAGACAAGGGCACTGGTGTTGAGAAGCTGCAGTTCTTCCGGAATGGTGTGTCCAGTGTCCTGATGTTATTGACACCCTGGAGGAGTGCCAGAATAAGGACAGCTACCACCCTCCCCCAAGCCAGAACAGATTGGCCTCTGCCCTGCCTTCTCTTCCCTACCCCCAACACCTAGTCACCCTCAAACACCTTCAGCTGTGGTGCCCTCTGTATCCAGAAGGTTTCAGGCTGTTCCTGGAGGTAATCATGAGGCTGTGAGGGAGAGATATTGAGCAACTCCTGGCTTTCTGCCCTCTCTCTCAATTTCTGGGCTTGCTGCTTTCCTACCACCTGCCAGAGCCCAACTGTGCAAGTGGGGTGGGCTGGGTTCTTACCTTTGTTGGTGCAGGAGGCCCTGCCTCTACCAGCTCTATTTGGTAATCACGGTGTGTCACTGACTCAGCCTCGAAGAGCTTCTTTGTGGGTTCCTGCTCTGCACGCACCTCTTTACTGTGAAGCCCTGGGAGAGGTCAAGGCCATTCCCAGGTTTTTTTCCCCTCCCTTTCCCTTTCCCCAGTCTCTCACCAGATCTGGTGGTGCAGGAGCATCTCCAGCATGGCTTCACGCTTCCCTGTGGGGAGGGCAGAGTAGGGGTCTGGTTAAGAAGCAGGATCAGAAACAAATTTGAGAAAAGGAAATCTTGGGGTTTTGCCCTTATATCCACCAACAGCCATAGTCCTCCCAGAGATTCCTGCCCCTTTTCTCTGCCTACTGGGCTATTTCTAGCCCCCTGTCCCTTATGCTTCACACCTCGAAGTGGCTGACCAATATTTCTTGGGGGCTGATACGAATCTTTATGGGTGGTGCTAGAAGGCATGGGTGACTGTAGTTGCATGCTCAGCAGTCCTTGGTGTCCATGTCGGAAGAAGAAACTCTCAGAGCCATCTTGCAGTCTTGGGATGTGGTCCAGGTGGTTGGTGGCTCTCTGTGAACCCCAAGTGAGTGACTATGAATTCCCTTCTAGAACCCACTCTCATCACAAATTATTGACTCCCCTAGGAAATTGGGGTCAGTGTGCAGGAAAATGGAGCAGGCTAAACCTTAATACCTCTTCCTCCCAGTTGTAAAGCAGGCACTGGCCGCGTGGCAGTGTTTCACAGAGAAACTCAGGTTTTCTTTCAGCCACGGGGGGCTTCCAAGGCCCCCGTGCTCCAGGTTCGGTGACTTGCAAAGGTTTCCAGGACTGGTTCTGAGGTTCCCACTGACAGTGGTGAATCCAGGAGTTAGAATCAGGGGGAAGATCTGGTGGGAGGCTTCTGAACCTTTGAGGAGTGCTGGAGTTGACTTTGTGACCAGGACCAGAGGCAGGACCAGCTCTAGGGGCAGGGTCAGATCCCTTGCCAGGTTTAGACCCCAGGCCAGGACAACAGGAAAGGAGAGAACCAGAGACAGGACCAGAGCTGGCAACTGAGCTATGGCCAGGATCAGAGGAGGCAGGAACAGGGGTAGAGCTGAGGTCAGAAGTAGGACAGGGATTCCTAGCAATATAGGAAACATAGAGGGGCTGAAAGCCAAACCTCCCATGGCCTCTCTGATGGGATCCAGAGCAGGTCGCCTCGACAAGACTGGCAGAAGATGGGTCTGTGAGCACAGAACAGGGCTCAGGGCTCTTTGTACATAACGCATCTGCTGAGGTTATAGCCTCTAGGCCAGACCTAGGACCTCCATCTGAAGAAGAAATAGGTTCTGAGGTGGTCTCTAGTCCTTCAGAGCTAGGCAGTACGTCTAAAGATCTGAAAGAAACAAATGCATCAAGGTTGTAAAGACTCAGCCAGCAGTTAGGTCTGCTGACCTTCCTTGTCGTCTTATGTCCCCGCCCCTCACCGTGCCCGAGATCCCTCAGACTCGTTGGTCTCCATTTTCAAGCGCCAGCTACCGGGTTGCCATAGAGACGGCAAACAACTCCGGGAGACTGCGTACAACTACAGCTGGGCGGACCCTGAAGGTGGGCGTGGAGACAAATCCTCTGCAGGGGAGGAAGTCTTAAATCTAGTATGCACCAGGAAGTCGGCAATCAATCCAGATTCCATTCTGCCTCACCTGGGGTTTTAAGGTTCCACTAGTCTGAGACCTTGCCTCTATTCCCAACTCGATTCTTTGTGAATGAGGTGATTATGGGGCTGCACTGGAGACAGGTGCAGGACCAGCGTCAGTCTAAAACCTACTGGATGTGTTTGTGGACAGGCAACATAAGCTCCTAGTTTGATTAGTTCATTCTCAAACTTGGAAGGGCATGTCCTTTTTTAAAGTTTAAAGATGAAAATACAGTAGGGTCTGAAAATGTACATCAATGGTAAGAGTGCTTGTCCAGCATGCCCAAGGCCCTGGGTTCCATCCCCAGTACCAACACACCCCCACACAGTAACAGCAAAATGAGAGTACAGTATTATAGGCGGCACCTTGTGTGTGTCTCATGACACCTCCAACAGAAGGCCCGAGACTGACCATCCTCCTCCCACCAAACCCTTTAGAACCTACGGGATTTGGCCTCTGAATGAGGGCTAGGATTGAATGAACCTTACACTTGGGTTTGTCTCTTCCTGACAAATCTGTTATTTTTTTCTAGAAGCTTGACCCAGAGTGGACCACTAAACACGTGCAGATCTGCAGTAAGTGCTCCTCTAACCCACTGACTGGGTCTCAGTGTCTTATTCTGATCCTTGTCAAGGAAGATCATACCTCTGAATCAACTTTCTTTCCCCTTTGTGGAATAAATCTATGACATATTTAACACACGGATGCAAAATTGAGAGAGAATAAGTTTATTAACATCACAGGATCCCTTTTCCCCTTCCCCACCCAAGCATTTAGGTCTGGGTTCTTGGTCAGTTGGCAGGTTTAACCAGGAGGCCACTGCAGCTGCCGGCCTCCAAGCACGTGAATGTGCAGGTGATATACAGATTGTGCACCTATCTTCCCATCGTTGATCACTGAAATGGAGCTTGTGATTAGGGGGTCAGGATCATGGGAAGATCACATTGTGAAGTAGGGATTCATAGGTGAGGAGACCAAGGGCCAATCATCACTCACCAAGTCGATAGCCATCTTTCAGACCCTCAGCCTTTGCTGTCTTCTTGGCCACAAGGAGTAAGTGCCCTAGAAGCTACAGGGAGAGGGGAGAGACATCAGTGGCTCTCTTCATAGGGAGTTTAATCCAGGGCTCTCCCAGACAACAAGCCCCTGGCCACCTTCTCCCCACCTGCTGGTCATCTTCTTCAGCCTGGCTAATCCGAGGAATGGGCTTCTTAGGGATAACCAGGAAATGCACTGGAGCCTGAGGGGCCACATCCCGAAAGACGAGACACTGGGAGCAGTGACAGGCCAGAGACCACCAGGTTACTTCATCAGGCCAAATGGTATCTATGCAATTCCTAAGGGGGTTGGGCCCTAAGGGGACCCCACCTGCTGATCTTCATATAGAATGTCAGCTGGGAGGCTTCGGTCCAGAATCCGGGAGAAGATGGTTGGCGATGCTCCTCCAGGTGCTGCTTTTTGGGCTTTGGCCACTTCATTTCCATCAGTCACACCTGCATTTCCTCGGACCTGAAGGTGGGTCAGTCACACCCAAGGGAGTTGGCAATAATTCTCCCACGTACCCAGGTGGGGCTGGTGGAAGCTGGGCTCTACGCATTACTAACTTCATCCTAAGAAACCTATTAGTGATTCCACCCAAGGGAAAGTTCCTGAATTTCAGAGCCTGCACAGCAAAGCATAGGCCAGATGGTGCTGGGCCTGGTTAGAGATCAGGCAGTATCACTGTGCAGAATTAGGACTGCAATTGAGCCTCACTAATGTGCCTATGAAATTCAGTACTGTACAGGGAAAAGGACTGGGAATGGGAATTTCAAAATTGAGATTGATCTGGGTGTGGTAGTATACATCTGTAGTTCCAATACAGATGAGGGTGGGGGAGGCAGGAGGATCAGGAACTGATCATCCTCAGGTACATAGCAAATTCAAGGCTAGTGTGGGCTACTTAAGACACTGTCAGAAAGCAAACAATATTGAGGTCCCAGTTCCTATACTACCATTGAACTGTATCAGTTGTCTCTAATGACAGTCCTTAGGAGGGATTGAAGCTCTTCAGTTTTGCCTTGTATGTTTCCACTTATTTTTACTATGTTTTCTGATTTTTAAGGCTTGTTACCTGATTGATACAGGTTTTAAAAAAAATATTTTATTATTTTTATTTTATGTGTATGAGTGTATTGCCTGCACGTAGGTAAGTGCACTCATGTCGTGCAATGCCCTCGAGGACAGAAGAGGCCGTCAGATCTCCTGGAACTGGAGTTAGGGACAGTTGTTAGCTGTCATGTGGGTGCTGGGATTCGAACCCGGGTCTTCTGCAAGAACTAGTGTTCTTAACTATTGAGCTATCTCTCCAGCCCCTGATAATAGGTTTTTAATGTATTTGTCCCATCTGACACTGGCTGATCTCTGGATGGTGAATCTGACCTCCCTCTGTGCAGTTTTCCTGTTATTATTATTTACTTATGTAGTCCAGGCTGGCCTTGAAGTCTTGGTGATTCTACTGCCTCAGCCTCCCAACTGCTGGGATTACAGGAATGTGCCACTATGCCAGGCTTCGTACTGTGTATTTTAATTCCAGTAACTTGAATCAGTGGAGTTATGTAAGCGCGCTCAACTCCACCAGCCCAACCGATAGGAGGTAGGGATGTCTGTTTCCCACTGGTTCAGAGAAGGCCGGAGTCAGTGCATCACACTGAAACCAAAGGGCACTTTGAGTTAGATTGCTTCTGGAAAGTGGGGGCGATGAAAGAGCACCACCGGTGCACACTGCAAGGCCAGAGGTGCCAGGGGGGCAGTAGCAGGGCTCCAATAAGGGCAAGCTCACTTCCTGCAGGGGGCACTGCGGAGGCTGCCCCCGAGCACTGGCGCGGTACCGACCGGTGGTCACTGTTAGATCATTTCTCCCGCGGACTCCAGCCCGATCTCACCGCACAGTCCCTGAGCTTGATCTCCGGTCCCGCCGCTTCTCACCTGCGCCCCCCGGGGCCCCGTGGCCGCCACGACTCTGCGCGCCACGCGCAAGCCTGCGGCCAGTACCAAGGCCGCGGCCATCTTCGCGAGCCGTCGAGTCTGCGGCTGCGGCAGGGGTGGGCCGGGCAGCAGAGCGCGCGACCATTGGCGGTGCGCGCGGGGCGGGTCCTGCCGTCCGCGGTCACATGCTTCCTGGGCACTGTCCACCCCATTGGCTCCGCCGTCACGTTAGAGGCGGAGTCTCTTCCGCTCATTGGCTGCTTCTGCCGACTCAGGGCCAGTTTGCGTCTGACAGGCAGTCGGAAGATGCTTTTTCCATTGGAGCCCTACCTACCTACCTTGGCTGGGAGATGGGTTTCCCCTCGGTTGGCAGGATTAAAGCTGGGGGTGGGCTTTTCCTAGTGGGATCAGATTCACAGCCTTGACCAGGCTGGGTTGAGGCTCCCGAGTGGGTGGGGCGCGCATGTTCTTGGCCCCCCATGGGTGGGCTCGGGGGCGTCGCCTGCTCACAATGGGCTAAAAGTAGTTCAGACTCGCATTGCGTTGGCCAGGAGGAGGGCCGGTTTGAAGGTATTCTTTCGGCGTTTATTGGCTCCAGAACTAAAGGTGAACTGGCATTCTGTGGGTAGCCTGAGGTTCTTCTTCAGGGGATCAGTTTCAACCCTTGGACCATTTCAGAGATTTTAAAGGGAAATTCCGCTGTTTTGTGTTCTTGCTAACACACCAGTATTTTCAGAGCAATTTGTTTTTTCTTACACGGGTCCCCTATGTGTGCTGTATGACTAATGGATATGCATCCTAGGTTTAACTCAGTGCTCACTGCCAGGCATTTTTAGTGAGGCAGGCTTGCTTTATATATTTAAATTTTATTTAAAACAAAAATATTTTTTAAATTTTAAATTATGCCGGGCGTGGTGGCACACGCCTGTAGTCCCAGCACTTGGGAGACAGAGGCAGGTGGATCTCTGTGAGGTCAAGGCCAGCCTGGTCTACATAGTGAGTTCCAGGACAGCTGGGGCTACAGGAGACCCTGCTTCAAAACGACAAAAAAAAAATTTTTTTTTTTAATTGTGTTTCTACCTGGGGGTACGTGTATGGGAGTGCAGGTGTCTGTGAAGGCCAGGTTTCAGAAGAAGGCATCGGATACTCTGGAACTAGCGTTATAACCTGTTGTGAGCAGCTTGATATGGGTGCTGGGAAAGGACTCAGGTCCTCGCCAAGAGCAGGATGCGCCATTTCTCCAGCCCCTAAAGATTGATTTTATGTGTATATGCCATGTGGGTGGGTGTATGTGGAGGCCAGAAAGGAGAGTTGGAACCCCTGGAGCTGGAGTTACTTGTTACAGGCAGTTGTGAACCAGTCTTGGGTGCTGGGAACCAAACTCCTGTCCTCTGCAAGAACAGCAACCCCTCAACCCCGGAGCCACTTCTGTCTGGCTTTATATGTATTTTTTTAAATTTAATTTTATTTATTATTTATTTATTTATTTATTTATTTAATTAATTAATTTATTTATTTTTTGGTCTTTTTGAGACAGGGTCTCCCTGTAGCCCTAGCTGTCCTAGAACTCACTGTGTAGACCAGGCTGGCCTTGAATTCACAGAGATCCACCTGCCTCTGCCTCCCGAGTGCTGGGATTAAAGGCATGCACCACCACACCCGGCAAGAAAAGTAATTTTATTTTTATGTGTATATATGTGTCTGCTTGTCTGTATGTGTACCATGTACATGCCTGGTGCCCATGGAGGCCAGAAGAGGGTGTTAGATCCCCTGGAACTGGAATTACAGGTGGTTGTGAGTCACTTTGTGGGTGCTGGTAACTGAACCCACATCTTCTGCAAGAGCAGCAAGTGCTCTTAACCACTGAGCCATTTTTTCAGTTTCTTAAGATTTATTTTAGTGTATGTATGTGTCTGAGTGCATGTGGGTGCCTGTAGAGGCCAAAAAGGAGTGTCAGATCCCCTGACGCTGGTGGCAGTTGTGAGCCAGACATGGATGCTGGGAACCAAACTCTTGTCCTTTGCAAGAGCAGGAAGCACTTTTAATCACAGAGCCACCTCTCCAGCCCTGCTTTATATTTTTGATATAAGAAGCAGTATTTCACTTTGGAGGAAGAGGCAGGAGTACCACCCATGAGTTCCGGGTCAGCTTGGTCTACATAGTGAGTTCCAGGCTAGCCAGGGCTCTAAGCAAGATTGTCTCAAAAAACAAAAAAAAATAAATCTGCCAAATTCTCAGCCACCTGGTAATTTCTGGTCTGGCACAGCTACAGTGTAAGTTACTATTGTAACTTTAGTTTTAGTCGTGTTTTTTTTTTTTTGTACCTGGACTAATATAATATTTGGTGTGTTATTGTTTCACTTCTTTCCCCAATGTATAGTAATATATGGCATATTTCTTATTGTTATAATGTTCTTCAGATTATTATAGTTTATGTAAATATACTTTGTTTTTTTTTGTTTTGTTTTGCTTTTTTTTGTTTTTTTTTTTGTTTTTTTGAGATAGGGTTTCTCTGTAGCCCCAGTTAGCCTGGAACTCTATATAGACTAGGCTGGCCTTGATTCACAGATATCCATTTACCTCTGCCTCCTGATTCCTGGGATTAAAGACATGTACTACTATGCCTGGCCTGTAAATGTACTTGTAATGGCTGCAAACTGTTTCCTTGAATGAGTTCATTATAGTAACTTTTCTATTAACTGTATTAGTTTTATGTGAATAGTTATCATGTACATATAACCAATGTTGAGGAACTCTAGAGTTAGCACAATCTCTTGTATAGCTATATAATTGTTAGAAAGCCTTTTCTCCAAAGGGTTGATATTTGACTATATGATTTTGCCCCAGGGGTCTTAGCAGTCTAGCCTGCATTCCCTTTGCAAGGACAGATGGCCTCTCTAAATGTGAGGAAATGTAGGATCAGCTTGACTTTGGGCCCCAGAGGTTTCAGTTCTGTGTGTGGGATATGAGGAGACTTTAGAGCTGCCCTGGAGAAGGACAAGAGATCAGTAGAGCAGGTACCTAGAAATCAGCATGGAGGTTAGTGAATATGAAGCTTTGAAGCTGGGTATTTCTTTGGGTTTTCATAGAGTGCAGACAGCACAGGTTCTGTTTTTACAGATCTAGAAACTGAGGCCCAAAGAGGCAAAATTGTCCCTAGCATCAGGAGCCCAAGCAGTCAGACTCCCCTAGGGCCGTAAAAGTCACCCATGGAGTTTCCTGTCACTCCCCAGCACTCCCCATTTTGACCCTGCTTCCAGTCATCTTTATTCCAAACACTTGTCAACACCTGCAGCTGCTGTCATCTGAAAGCTGCATGCTCTGCAGGCCCTGACCACTGTCTCCTGTGTTGCAGGCCATGCTGACACATCTGCTCCCAGACCTCACCAGAGACTTACTGTTCCTTTGACGGCTCTTTTTTTCAAACTGGCAGTTGTTTCTTGGCACCGTGTCTCCCCATTTGTAATTGTCCACTCTCTTCACAGCTTCAGGACTATTTCTTTAAAATGTGTTTTACTGTTTTTATTTTATGTGTATGAGTGTATTGCCTGCATGTATGTGAGTGCACCTGTGTCATGCAATGCTGCAGATGTCAGACGAGGGCGTCGGATTCCCTTGGAACTGGAGTTAAAGATGGTTAGTAACCACCATGTGGGTGCTGGGAATTGAACCCGGGTCCTTTGCAAGAGCAGTCAGTGCTCTTAACCACTGAGCAATCTCTCCAGCCCCAGGCCTACTTCTTTTGCCTTTTTCTCACTATCCAGATGCTGGCCCATGCCCAACCATTAGTCTAAATATTTCGCTTCTCTTTTCTACGTAGATTCTCACTTCCAACCGTACTGAATCCTAAACTACAGACTGATCAGGAGTTTCTCCAGTTCCCCACATTAGTCTTCCCAGATGTTCCTCTTTCTTGTCTCTCCCCACTCATCCTGTTCTTGCTTCACTTGGAATATAGATATCCATCAGAGGGGAACTTCCAGAAGGTCCTGTTCCCAGAAGCTTACACTCCCTTCTGTTTTAGGAAGTGATGTTTCTCCTGTTCAGAGCAAATCCCGTCACCTCTGCCTTGCCCTCATCCCTGCTCTTATCTCACCAGGCACCTCTCCTCACCTTTGCATCCTTCAGGATCTGTGTGGGGGGTCTCTTCCCCTTTTCCTTCTGAAGAAGCTGCTTCCTTTATCCACATCTCTTTCTACATTGTCTGATTTATCTCCTGTACTTCTCGTCCAAGCTTCTTGAAGAGACACCTTCAAATTTGATGTTTGGTTCTTGCCTCCACTGTGCCAGTGCAAAACTGTACTCTCTAAAGACCTACTAATTGCAAATTCTTTACCCCATGGAACCCAGCTCTATCTGAAATCACTGCCTATTCTTTCTTGAAAAACCCTCCCTCCTTGGCTTTTTTGAAGCCAATCTCCTGCTGTCAGAGCTGGCAGCTTGGATGTGGCAATGATGGAAGCAGATAGCCAGATCCAGCCTTCACCGTTTGGTGCAGTCTCTTGCCCACAGGAGGAACTGACCCTACGTTGGGTCTTGGCACTACCTGTCTCACACAGACCAGGTCACATTCTATTGGCTTCCACTTTATTGTTGATCTGGGCCAGGCTCAGAAAGGCCTGTGCCAGTTGTTGACAGTGTATGTCCCTAGAGGAGGGAAAAGCAAAGGTGTGTCAGGTATGGGGGTCAGGTGTGGAGCCAGGCTGGGGGCTGCTTGGGTCAGGGAGTGCAAGGGATCTAGGGTGGGGGCTGGGGTGACCAGAGAGCCCCTGCCTCTGGAGTTGGTGAGGATGGCTTCTTGGAGAGCAGGAATCTCTGCAAAAGGCACATAGTCTGCTCCTGGGGGTGGAAACCAGTACGAGTATGGGATATGGGGTGGCTGGGGATGGAGGAGCCTGGAGAGGATGGGGAGGATGGGAGTACCTTTCTGCCTGGCCTTCTGACTACAGATGCTGACATGGCCCCGTCTCAGGTTGTTCCCTCATTGTAAGACCTCCCTCCTCATCGCCGGGTCTCCTCAGTTTCAAAGAAAGTCTCATGTTCCTCCCACTGCCGGTCAGAGGATACACAGAGGAAATTTGACTCAAAACAGTTGCAGCTACAGCCTGGAGCAGAAGAGGGGCCAAGAAGAGTGGCCTTCTGACTACAGATGCTGACATGGCCCCGTCTCAGGTTGTTCCCTCATTGTAAGACCTCCCTCCTCATCGCCGGGTCTCCTCAGTTTCAAAGAAAGTCTCATGTTCCTCCCACTGCCGGTCAGAGGATACACAGAGGAAATTTGACTCAAAACAGTTGCAGCTACAGCCTGGAGCAGAAGAGGGGCCAAGAAGAGTATAAGGAATTATGGCATCACCATGTGCTGGCTACAGTCTCATCTCTTTCTTATTTACCACACACTTGTTCTTATCCTTCATCCCCCTCTCCTTGCCCAGATCCCCTTTCACTAGAAGTTACCACGGTGCCTGCAGGGATGAGCCCAGGTGGCAGCATGTTCTTCATGGCTATGTTTACAGTGACATTGGGCTCTCCAGGTCTTGGGGTCAAAGGTGGCCTGTCTCTTGAGCCAGAACTCACCCACCTCTTCTGGGCGTGATGGGATGAAGCAAAACATGAGGCACCGGCACTGGCTCACACCACAGAGCACAGATATGTCTATGGTAATGGGGATGGGTAGCGTATTAGACCAGCACCTGATAGGGCCACTTTCCCATGGAGATCCCTCCCTGATTTGTATTCATATTCTCTCTCTTTTTCTCTCTCTCTTACTTTCTTGCTCTCTTGCTCTCCTACCCCCAAGACATGACAGAGTACAGTAGTCCCTCCATACTTGAAAAGAGACTGGTAATCTCTTCCCTACCAGAGATGATATGGTGTTCTTTCAACAAGGGTCCACAAAAGCGCTTGGACTCATCCGCAATTCGGAAACGGACCCATAGGTAATGGGGACAGCGCCAGCTGACATAGAGACCTACAGAATGGAAGGATTAATAGGGAAAAGTGAGAAAGAGAAAAAAAAAAAAACCCTAAACTCCCTGCAGGTGTTCCTACTAATCCTCTGGGATGGAGGTGGGGAACTTACCATCATACCCTGGGTCATCTGTCTCTGTCAGGGAGCCCTCACCTTTGCCCCTTAGACTTTTTTCCTCAAGGTTTTCTATCATCCCAAGTATCATCCATTCCCTTTCCATCCCAGGATCCACTCCACCTCTGTCAGACTGCCAGAGATGACTGAAGGCAGCCTTCCATTTCTGAGCAGAGAGATTATAGATGACATTTTGTACGAAGACGAACATGACTCTCACGGTCCCCTGTGGCTGTAAGGCTTCTTACCTCCTCTCCTGTTCATACAAGAGCCCAACCTTCCTGCAGTGTCTACGGTGAACAAGAGGGAAGTTGACTCTGGCCAGGTGGACAGTAGGTTATAAGGATTGGCTCCTAAAGAGAATGGTTAGTGGAGGACCTCGAAGAAGAGGTGGAAGCTGGGCAGCGCTGGTGCCAGGAAGTGGGCGGAAGCCTGCCCCTCACTTCTCCATGTTGGCAACTTTGTAATCCTTTTGTGTTCCTGGTGTTATGTAACTAACACCCTTTATGATCCTGAAAAGGGCTGCTGGTGGCTTTCAAGGGTCAGGCCAGAAGTCATGGCTTAACCCTAAAAAAAAAAAAAAAAAAAAAAAAAAAAATCTAAGTTGTGAGGCATGGAAAGGGGTTATGGAAAGCAGAGGGTGGGAAATACCCTCAACCACAGGCACTAGCAGGTGACTACAAGGTCCTGGTTTCAACAGTGGGGTCTGAGAGTATGTGGACTCATGGCCAGTCTTACCACACGCTTCAAAGGCAGGGCTAGGCAGACTTGGCAGGAGAACCGGACAGCACTACATACTCATTTTTACATTCTCCATGAGAGGAGAGACTATCCTAACTCCTAGCTCAGAATCTTGCTTGAGTCACCATGGGGTGGGATCTAAGCTGTTAGGATTTGTACTTCCATTTAGAAATCTCAACTGAAATGTCACCTCTCCCAGAAATTGTCCTTGACTTTCTGACCTGTCTCAGCCGCCTCTTGCCTTCTCCAGCCCCTCATACTATTCTTGTCACACCCAATGCATCACAATAGACTGTTTGCTTGAATTTTCATCATTGTGTGAATTGTAGAAGGGAAGAGTCTGTCTTCAGCCACATCTCCAATCCTGGCAAGAAACAGATGCCGCAAGAAGACAGACTACCTGAATGAAGGAATGTATTCATTCCACAATTCTGTGCTTCAGCCCAGGTTTTCTCATTTTACCCAGAGTTTCTCAAGATCTAACCCCTGTTCAGATGTGTCAGCTTTTGGCTTGGCTGCTTCTGGCTTGATACTGACAGCCTGTGGTGCTAGGGTCCTCTTGGACCTGGAAGAGGCACAGGGATAAGCAGAGTCACAATGGTGAGGGGGGTGGGGGGGATAGGAGCCAAGATTCCACTAGAGGAATTCTGAAGTCTGGAGTAGCGGGATGCAGTGGCTGAGCACTCAAGGTACAGTGGTGAACCAGAGTCTGCCTGTAGATCAAGATCATCATGTGGGGGTCGGAGGTGGTGCATATGCCTTTAATGCTAGCACTCAGGAGGCAGAGGCAGTTGGATCTCTGTAAGATTGAGGACCACCTGGTCTATATAGCAAGTTCCAGGTCAGCTGGGGCTACAGAGAGAACCTGTCTCAAAACAACCAGACCAGACCAGAACAGAACAGAACAAAACAAAACCTATCAAGGCTTGACCTGAGTGCTTGGAACTGTCAAGTCTAAGCACCTGGTGTAGAAATCAGTACTCAGCATTCAGATAGAATTTGAATAGAGAGTCTGGACCTCAGATTCTGTTTTGTTCACTCTATTCTATTCTATTTTTCATTTTTATGCGTATGAGTGTATTGCCTGCATGTAGGTAAGTGTCGTGCAATGCCCACGGAGGACAGAAGAGGCTGTTGGATCCCCTGGAACTGGAGTTACAGACAGTTGTTAGCTGCCATGTGGGTGCTGGGATTTGAACCCAGGTCTTCTGCAAGAACCACCAGTGTTCTTAACCACTGAGCCATCTCTCTAGCCCCTATTCTATTCTATCCCATGCCATCCCATGCCATCCCATCCCATGCCATCCCATCCTATTCTATTATTCTATCTTATCCCATCCCATCCCATCCCATCCCATCCCATCCCATCCCATCCCATGCCCTTAAAGTAGGGAAATTAACATCTGGCTGTGGATTCCAAACCCTCTTTTTGTTAGTAGTGAACAAGGACTGGAAGGGCCAGAAGATACTATCTGAGATGCCTTTCTGACTCTGTACTACACAATCCAATTCTGCGACTGCATAATCACACTTGCATGCTAACATCTATTCCTAGAAGATCTCCATACTATATACAGTTAGCTGTTTTTACCAGAAGGATGCCTCTAGCCTAGACCTCGCTCCTGAGTGTCAGACCCACACAGCCATCTGTCTGTTACAGTCTTCTACCAGCATGCTCCATAAGCACTTCAAATGCGTTACATCCAACGTGTACCTAAAAACCTAGCCCTCAGCCTTTGCCCTCTGTTCAGGCATGTATTTTTCCAGTTTTAGACACTCAGTTACTAATCAGCCACTTAAGCCAAGACCTTAGGTGTCATTCTAGGACTTTTCTACTTTTTAACTTATTCTACACATCCAACAATCCGTGTTTGAATTTTGCAAACCCATCCACCATTCTCTACCTTCACCCAGCTACTTCTTACCCCTTTATCAGCAGAGCGGTCTTTCTGTGTCCAACCTTACCTTCTCCGATCTATTCTACCGACAAAGTGATCTTTCAGAAGCACAAATCTGTTTGTCACCGTTCTATTTAAAATAGCTGGGTGATTCTCAGGTGCCCTCAGGATATAAATGCAACTCTGTAGCTTGGCACAAAAATATGTGTACAATTTTATATTTTTTGGAGCTAAGTTTCCCAACATTCTGTTCACCATGCAAAATGCTACACTTTCCTAAGATGCCTTGTTTTGTCATGTCTCCTTTATTTTACTTAAAAATTAAAAAAGAAAAAAGTTGAGATGAGCTCTTGCTATATAGCCCAGGCTGGCCTGGAACTTACTATGTGGCCTTGATGGCCTCAAACTTGCCATCCTCCTGCCTGAGCCTTCCAAGTGCTAGGATTATAGTTGGGCACTACCATGCTTGACTATCTCTTCTTACCCTCTTATAGATATTAGCTGAGAAGTCTTTCCTTCCAGGGCTTATTATTAGTTTAGCTCCCTAAATTGGGTGCATTTCTTCTGATCCTGCAGCACTTTGTAGCAATTTGTTAACATGAATTATAATTGTCATTTTGCTTATTTGTGTTGCAAATTCTTTGAGGGTTTTTTTGTCTTGTTTTTCAAAATTTATTTATGTTTATAAGTGTTATGCCTGCATGTATGTAAGTACCCTCATGTTGTACAATGCCCATGGAGACCAGAAGAGGGTTTCAGGTTCCTTAAAACTGGAGTTATGGACTGTTATTAGCCCCCTTGTGGGTGCTGGGATTCAAACCTGGGTTTTCTGCAAGAGCAGCCAGTGCTCTTAACTGCTGAACCATGTCTCCAGCCCCTTTATGTTTTTTGAGACAGGGTCTCATTATGTATCTGAGGGACATTTCTGATACATTTCCTGCCCCACTACTTCTACAACTAATGTTCAATGCTTGCCATAGAGTTGGTGCACAGTAAATGTCTCTTGATGGAATTCTATGAAAAGAACTTATACTTTGCATTTCTCTATGCACTACATATACTCTTAAGGAGTCTTGACTCGTGATCTTTAGCACTAGAAGGATACAGACCCCACATATCTTTGTTTAGGATTGAATGACATTTACGTTTCTTCACAAATTGCCTGTATAAGCAGGAAGACGAAGACATTCAATTCAAAGAAGAAATGCAGAAGTCTTGAAGAGTAAGGAGGGAGTAGACAGGACGGCCTCAGACAAGCAGTGAGGGGACAGGGCAGAGCCTGCATTTGCAAGAAAACAGTAACAGAAGACATGAAAGCAACAAAATGGCTATTTCAAGACCTGAACGGAAATTGAGAAACAAGTGAGGCCACTGACCTTTTTGGTAAAGAGGTGAAGGGGAGAGGATCCATGCATGGGGTGGGGTATTACATAAGGGAGAGTGAAGAACGTAGAGCTTTCTAACTCTTTATAGCTTTTATAGCTTAGTCCTGTTTACATAGCTATATTTCCATCATATGAAGGGCCAAAGTAAATACTGTGATGTGTCTTGGATTCTGTCTAGAAATCCTAGAATCCTCATAGCAGGTCAGAATGGCCCACTTACTGAATCCTTATAAATGTGAACTCCAACACACAGGTAAACATGCTCACACACATGGGGTAGCGTGTACACAACTCATCTGCACACTCGTTACAGAGATGCAGCTTCCACCAACAGGACTGTCAAGAGTCCTAATGGGGTTTGGGATATAACTCAGTTGATGGTGTGCTTGCCTAGCATACAAAGAACCCTGGGTTTGACTCCCAGCACCACATGAAACCAGCTATGGTGGTACATGATTGTAATCCCAGCACTCAGGAGATAGAAGCAGGAGGATCAGAATTTCAAGGTAATTTTCAAAGGTCATCCTCAACTGTATAGAGTTTGAGGCTAGCCTGGGCTACATGAGACCCTCCCATCTCAAAAAAAAAAAAAGATTACTGGGACTGGTGAGATGGCTCAGTGTTTAAGAGCACTGGCTATTCTTGCAGAGGATCTGGGTTCGGTTCCCAGCACACACATGGAAGCTAACAATCATCAGTAACTCCAGCTCCAGGGGATCCAATGACCTCTTCTGGCCTCTGAGGATACTACATGACATGGGTACACTTACATGCAGGGAAAACACTCATAAACATAAATAAAATAAAATTTAAAAATAATTATGAGCTGGGACCAGGACTCAACAGGATTATAGGACATAGCTCTCTTCCTTGGTGGGGGGGACACTCAAGGATTTTGGGTACCCAGAGGATCAGGGATCTAGCATGCAAAGGTGATAGTCTTTAACAAAGCAAAGGGACAGAGTTCTTTGCTACATCCATATGAGAACAAGGCCCTTAGAGACTCTCTAAGGTCCTGGAGCCACCTCTGCCTTAGTGTCTGTCTGATGTAAACTATCTGGGCTCTAGATCTGGGGGTTGGCCCTGATTCTTCTGTTGATAGCAATTTTAGTGTTTCTACCTGTTACTACTGGATTTCATATGAAATACCCACTTTTTCCAGATATCCTGGTATTTATTGCTAAGCCTACCTATTTCCCTTCCAGATTCCAGGCAGGTGGCATGGCCATTTCAACACTGAAAGGGCAGGCTTCCAAATCTGTTGGATTGGAAGCTGTCCATAGGCCCATTACAGGCCTTCCAGAGGCCACTTAGGCTCACCTGTCTGGATGGACTTCAGAGCTGCATTCTTCTCCCACTGGAAAAGACTGTTCACCTGAGCATCAAATTGCTCTCTGTGCATTGCCTTAACTACTTCCAGCAGCTCTGGTCACTTAGCAGGGACCACTGGGTGGCTTGTATAACCTGGAAAGGGAGGAACTGAGTAACCAGGGGGAAGTGAAAGGGAGTTCAGAGGAATGGGACTGAAATCTCCCATAGGCCCTCATAGGCTGGGATCTCAGGAGTCAGGGAAGTAGATGGCCCCAAAGGGGCTTCAGAGGCAGGAGGCTGTACAGTTGTCTCAGAGATGGAAGACTCCAAGGGAATTTCAGAGATAGGGGGCTTCTGTAAATCTTCAGTAGAGGGGTCCTTTGAAGACGGGTGTTCCTTTGCATCCATGGTGGCCCGAGGCTCTTCTGTGATCTCATTTGCTTCCATCTAGTGGTAGAATAAGGTATAGGCTTCATTAGGTTGAGTTTGGAGGGTCTGATAGGCAAAGTCCAAGGTTCACACTGGTTACAGGATTAGGAAAAGGTTCTCAGTGCAGTGGTAGAATAAGGTATAGGCTTCATTAGGTTGAGTTTGGAGGGTCTGATAGTCAGGCAAAGTGCAAGGTTCACACTGGTTACAGGATTAGGAAAAGGTTCTCAGTGCGCCTAAGACACTGGAAGGAAGTAAGGAGGATTCTGGGTTTCTCTCCATCCCTCCCTCCTTCCCTGACAAGACTTTACCATGTAGCCTGTGTCAGACCGAAATTTGCTATGTAGCCCAGCCTGGCCTGAGCTCCTTGGGAACCTCCTGCCTCTACCTCCCAAGGCTGGGATTACAGATGTATGTCACCATGTCTGGCTGCTTTGGACTTCTAAATGCACATTTCTAGCGTGGATCTCTCATTCCTGTGTACTATACATGCTTCTTGCTAGACATTTCTAACTGGATGTCCCACGGGCTTCAAACTGACTGTGGGAAATACTCTAGTTTTCTTCCCCTAGCACTCAACCAACTTCAAATAGAACTATTCCTAACCCTATAAATACTCCAGTACGCTCTTCTTTCATTCGTTCACATTCTCATTACCTTCTGCCTGACTGTGTAATAACTTTACCCTTCCAGCATATTAATCTACTCACCCATTTTTTTTTTTTTTGAGATAGGGTCTCCCTAGGCCCTGGCTGACCTGGAACTTTCTATGTAGATCAAGCTGGCTTAAAATCCACAGAGATTGACTGCCTCTGCCTCCCGAGTGCTAGGATTGAAAGCATGTGCTACCATGCCCAGCTGGAAAGAGACAATTTAACTTAAAGTGACAATACAAATGAATTGCTGGGTCATGTACAGGATGCTGTGAGGAGAGAAGACGCCCAATTTATCCTAGAACGATGTCCAAAACGGTATTTCTCCTTCCTGATTCAATCAAGACCTTTTCAAAGTGAAAAACACTCTGATTTAGGCTAAAGGATTAAATCTATGTTTCTTGGCCAGAAATTCAAGGCCTGCCATACCTCCCACTTATCTCTGTTGGTCCATTCCCCATATCCTGCCCCAGGTGCTGAGGATTGAACTGGGGGGCTATTTGTCAGACAAGGGCTCTATCACTGAGCTACAGCCTCAACCCTTGGTTTTTTTAGACAGGGTCTCATTGTATAGCCCTGGCTGGCCTAGAATTTTTGTATAGACCAAACTGGAAGCAGTTCTGTTGCTTCTGCCTCCCAAGTGCTGGGATTAACGGCCAGTGCCCCCACACCTGGCAAGATCCACCATGATTTGCAGCTCTACCTGAGGATTTATATCTTTCCCTGCTCCCTAGGTTTTCTTACCTCCAGAGATACTAGATTTACTGCACCCTAAGCTCATTAGAGCCTTTCCAAAGGGGAAATTTGGCAAATGGCAGAGGTACGGTGATGGGGAGTGTGGGGGGGATAAGGATGAAAAGTAGAGAATGGGTGGGGAAGGACAGAAGGTATTAGGAGGAGGAATAGGTTGAAGAAGGGAGGGCTGTTGGAGAAACTACGAACCTCTGGGCTTAGGCTTGGTGGTTGTAAGTCTTTAGGTCAGGGTCTTTAGCTGGGTTGGAGGGGAAGTGTTGGACCTGATGGAGGGACTGTTCCGCTGTGGATGAGCAGGGACAAAAGCGCTAACTGAAAGGCCTTGCTTGGAAGTCTGCGGAGACTTAGACATCAGCAGACTTTCTCAAAAAGATTCTGGCCTGACCTGAGGAAGGGCAGTAGGGGGAAGGGGTCCAGGGCTTGACTGAAATCTCTAGAACCCGGGCCGGGAAGAGAGAGATCGATCACCAGGGCAACCGGAACGCCCAGTAGTCTCCATGGTGACCGCAGTCGGGCCACCTCCGCGTGGGTGAGGTTTCCGGAGGGGGTTGCATTGGATCCAGTGGGGAGCTGGGTTGAGCGAGTCTCTGAGTAGGCTGTGTGGACAATAGGGGGACGTCCAAGAGGAGCCTGTGTTTATAAGCCTCTCGAAGGTTCTTGTACCAGGAGGTGCGCAGTTCAACGTGGGCTGTGAGACCCTGAGTCACTGGCTGGGGTGAGAAAGAAGGCTCGCAGGTGGCAGGGGCCAAGGCGGAGTGGGTCCCAGAAGAAGGTTTAAGGGGGAGGCCAATGGCATGGGGCGGGGGCGGGCTCTGCTGGGAGGGACCAATCGCACGGAGCGTGGGGCGGGGCGCCAGGCCGCGTCACGCCGAGGCCGCCGCGGGGCCTGGTTATCGCCGGTTCAACGCAGCCCCGAGTCGCCCAGGCCTGAACTCCTACCCAGGTCCCGGCCGCCGGTCCCAGGCCCGCGAGGACGCCGGAGGCCACCCCCGGGGGTGGGGAGCGGAGCGGCGGGTCAGCTCTGCGAGTGTCCCGCGCTGGCCTGGCCGGCCCCGCCCCCGCCCCGGGCCATGGCCCAGCCCTTGTCCCGACCCCTCGTCCTATCCCAACCCCAGCCTTGGCCTTCGGCCACGCCCTCGCCCCGCTTCCCAAATTTGTCCCAGCCCCCGCCAGGGTCGCGGCGAAAGCCTAGGTCCAGGTCCCCGCTGCCGTCCCAGTCCCAGTCCCTGCCCCTAGCCTGGCCCCTGGCTCCGCCTCGGCCCCATGTCCACCCCCTATCACAAATCCCAGCCCAGACTCTGACCTCACCCCATGCCCAGCGTTTGCTTAAGCCCCTGGCCCAGCCCCAGCCCTTGCTCCGGTCTCCATCACACCCACTCCTTCCATCACACCCCTTGCCCTTGTTCGAGTCCCAGTGCTCAGCCCAGCGCAACCCATTATCTCAGCCTTTGCTCCCATCTCTGCGTTTCTCCAAGTCTCTCCCCCTCGCCCCGCGCCTCTCTCATACTCTGCCCCTCTCCCAGCCTCGACTCAGGGCTGGGCTCCAGCTGTCGCCAGCCCTATTGCTGCTGTTGCTGTTCTCTGTCCTTGGTCCAGGGGCTGGTGAGTGCAGAAGCAGGAAGGATTGAGATGGGTTCCAGGGAGGGGTGGGACCTGGGGAGCTAGGTCGCTGGGGAAGAAGGGGGAAGAAATGGAGGGGGGGGACTTCCACAAAAATGGGTCGGCAGCCCTGAATAGCACCACTCAGCTAGCTCAGCAGGTGCCTAATAGTCCCTTAGAGAGTCTGGTAGGCTTTCTTTCCCGGTGTCTATCTCGACCCCTTGACTCTGGCTTTCCCAGGGAAGTCCGGGGGCTTTGCTCTTTCTGTTCCCAAAGTTTGATGGGGGATGACGTAGTCCCAGTATCAGAAGCCTCTAGTCTAATCTGAGAAGACATGATCTAAACCGCTGAGATACTGAACATACATTCAAATAGGGATTAAAAAAAAAAAAAGCAGTTTTGAAGACAGTGTGTTGCAGTAAATATAGGACATGGGTTAGAGTTTTCTTGTGCTGGATCTTTCCCCAAGTGAGCCTCACTGACCTAGGGATGATTCTTGATACTTTTAAAGCAGGGCTGAAGCTCTGCAGCCATTTTGCAGATGAGGAAACTGAGGCTCAATGAAGAAGCAGTTTGTTCAAAGTTATGTATAAATGACAAACCCAGTGGGCTAGAAAAAAGGTTTCCTAATCCCTGTGGCATACTAGTGGTTTCTCTCCCCTCCTCCTGACTTCAGTATACACCTAAGGAGAAAACTAGATCCAAGTGTTCCCCCCACCCTTGGTTCATAATATAAGTTCTTTTCTCCCTAGTTGGCCTGCAAAGAGACTTAATTCCTTAGCAATTTCTTATTTGCCAGATGTCAGCCTATAGCTACCATCTATCACTTGGCTAGGAGAAGGAGTGGTCCAACTTCTTAATGGATGGAATGAGGGAGGCAGAGGGGGTCCAGGTCAAAGGGCTGTGCTATACAGATAGTCCCATCGTGAAGTGACTAGTGCCTGTAGCCTCAACCCCCAGCCACCTTTGCTGTGAGGCACTAGAGAGGGAATGGAGACACTCTGAACAGTCATTGGCAATGACAGTTAACAGAGCAGCTGCAGTAGAGGTGGGTTTCACTGAGCTCAGAGGGTCTGATTCAGTATACAAGCTTGAGATCAGTGCATGACTAAGGTCACAGCTCTGCAGAGATGTCTGAGAACTATGTACCTGTGTGTGTAACTGAGGGATCTGTGGGAATATTGCATGTGCAATTGTGTAATGCTTATATGTTAGTAACGTGTTGTGTGGGTTGTACATGAGCTGATGTGTCCTTGGGGTGCTTGTGTCGTTGGGTGAGGGGGAGAGGGCATGTGATGTGGCCTAGGCTTGAATGAAGAGTTGTCTCTTTGTCTCTGTCTCTGTCTCTCTCTGTGTTTATATATTTATGTATATGTATATGTGCTATAAAATTTGTGTGTGTGTGGTATATGTATACTGATATATTCACCCACGTGTATACCTAGGGAGGCCAGAGGCCACCTTATTTCCTTAACACTGTCTCTTACTGAGCCTGAAGTTTATCATTTAGCTGATTTAACAGAGAGATCCCAGGATCCATCTCCATCCCCAAGTGCTGGTTTACAGGCATGCATAGCCATGCCTAACCTTTTTAAAAAATTAAATATGAATACTGGGGATTTTACAGAGCAAGTACTCTTACCTGCCACCCATCTCCCAAGACCTTCACAATGTCTAGAAGTAACCCATACATCTTCCAGCCAGTCTTCTCGAGGAAGGAACTGGAGGAAGGAACAGACAGGTTGGGCACTAGCAGAGTTGGCAGTCAAGTTTTTTCTTTTGGTGAGGGGAGTCCATTCTGAGTAGCCCGGTTTGTGGCGTCTATTCCTGTTATCACGACTTCTTTGTTCATGAGTTCATTGAACAAGCAGTGGTCTAGCTTGGGGAAGAGAGTGACAGAGTCTCAGTGTACACAAAACTGAAGGCTGTGGATTAAAAGCACAATTGCCCAGAAGCAGGTTTGGTGCTTTGGGGAGAATTATATTGAGGTTAGGAAAGACTGCCATATAGACTCAACTGCAGGCAGGGCTGCCCTCAGTGCTGTTAATAGTGCCTTGGCAGCTATGGCCTGTCACACAGTGGTGCTCTGTAACCTGGTGGTGATGATGAGTTTTGCATGAGGAGAGGCTTGGCAGGGAGGGTCATAGGACTGTTGTTGCATAGAGCTATACAGATGCTTATTATTGGCTACAGTCTTATATCAGGAATGGACATTTTTGTTTGGTCTTACTTCTGACCTGTAAATCTTTTCCTTGGACCTAGCTGGCTGTGGTTGATAACCTAGGCATGCCTCATTAGTCCATGAAATATCCTTTTTTAATACCTCCTGCTGTCAGTAGCAGGAACAACCTCAGTGTTGGTGTGAGAGCACAAACAGGTGATTTAGGTGGTGGTAGTAGTGAATCACCCTAGCTTAGAAGGGACATTAGGAAAAGTGCATTTGGGCTTAACTGGGACCTTGCTTACACTTTCTCTGGGTCATAGTGCTAGTAGGCCCTGTTCAAATCCCAAATCAAAGTTTGAGGTGAATAGGGCTATAGACCCTTTCTCAAGGATCTGCCCCTCCTCCCAGAATTCCAAGCTGCTGCTTACTCTGACAGGTGTGTTTTATAGCCATGGTGGAGATGCCTTAGACTGTTCCCCAACTCTCCAGGTCACACCAGAGCTCTTTGTGCTTGCCTAGCCATGCATCCCCAAGATCATTAGCTTTGGTTCACACTAGTGCTCTGAGGGTCTGCACTGAGGAAACTGATTAACATGGCTCTTTTAAAAAAAATAATATGTTTTATGGGGTCTGGAGAGATGGCTCAGCAGTTAAGAGCACTGACTGCTCTTGCAGAGGACCCGGGTTTGATTCCCAGCACCCACATGGCGGCTACAAACCGTCATTAACTCCAGTTCCAGGGGAATCTGAAGCCCTCTTCTGACCTCCACGGCATTGCATGACACGGGTGCACTCACATACATGCAGGCAATACACTCATACACATAAAATAAAAAAATAAATAAAATATTAAAAAAATAATATGTTTTTTATTTGAGCATTTCATACATGTCCCCTTAGAGTAACAGTGGTTGCTGGAGAGATGAGCCCTCCCTGGTACTAGCTTTGAAGAGGCGCAGCCCTTACGTAATCCCAGCAGAGGGCGCTCCAGAGCACTTATAGCCTTTAACAGTAGTATTTAGGGTTATTCCAACTCCAGCCCTCTGCCCCCAGTGGTCACAGGCAGGGCTCCAAGGAAGCAGTCTTCTCCATTAGTTAACCTTACTGTCTGTCCTTCCTCTGCTGTGAATGAGTCTTCACTGGTATATGAGTGCTGTGCTGGGTCTCTCTGGGTTCCTGGGTAGTGATCAGCTTGCTAGTTGGTTTTCCTTGTTTATAGTTGAGATTGAGCAAATGTTTGGTACTAGAAGGACTAGTCCTTGGGTGTAACCATGGCCTTTGAGGATGCACACAGGCCAGTCTGACCAGTGGCTTCCACCTGCATATGGTACCACTTGAGCATAGCACTTTAAGGTACCCTAGTTTGTGGAATCAGCCTTAACCAGAATCCCTTCCTTTGGCACCTCCCCCCACTGCTTTTCTGGATGCCTCTTTCTCTGTGACTTTAAACACTTCATTTTGAGGGGGTCATCTCCAGAGATGCAGACCATCAGACTAGGAAAGCCCTATGACTATTTCTTTTTGGCTGAAAACTCACTTCCGGAATCTTCCAATATCTGCTTTGTCCTGAAGATGTTCATTCCCCCATCTTGTCACCTGAGTGGAGTCATGTTCCTGGTATTCTTTGGGACTGGTCTGAAGTCCCCAGAGTAGTCAGAGACTCCAGAACTTTACTCTGGGACACCTTGCCTGCCTTTTGTGGGCCACCTTCTATCCAGCCAAGCTATGCATTCCTTTCACTGCTAGGGTAACTGTCCCTAAGTTTTTGGCTTGTGATGTGACTTTCCTGCCTACCTTGGCTCTGCTCCTAACAGCTATGATCAGGGATCTGAGCATTTCTGCTAGAGATAACCACTTCCTCCCCTCCTCCTAACCTGGCCTCCTCCAAATATTCCCAAGTGATTTAAGATTGCACTGGGCCACAGAATTGACTTGACTCCTTGAGCCTCTGAGAGAACATCCATGGCCACTCATTTTGATCCTAGAGGGTCTGATCACTCTTGTCTCTTGGGTACTGTCAAGTTGACCTGCCAGCTCCTATTCTTGACTCTGCCACCCAAGCAGGCCCCTTGCTGCCTTACCACACCTTCCCCTCCCCTCTCTTGCCCTGAGCCAGTATACAGACAGCTCTTGTGAAGCTTCTGAGAATTTTTACTGCTCTTAACCACGGGGGAACAGAAAGGGGCAGAGGACAAACAAGGAAGTTACACAGTTCCATGCTGACTCTCAAGCCCCACAGGTGGAGTTCTAGCTTTGCTTAGTGGCTTAAGTGCTCATGCCAACTCTCTCTCTC